TGGCAACAATTGTGAGGTTGGCTCAGGACCGGGCAGTGTTTCGTTCTGCTGTGCATAGGGTCACTGTGAGTCAGTACCAACTCGATGGCACCTAACAACAACCAAAGTTGCTCCAAATGATATATTATGTATTATCTCTTAATTCTGTTTCCCCACAAGATTTTTGAAGCCCATCATACATTGAAATCAACACATACAGGCTTTTTCCTCACTACAGTGTGGTTTTATCCTGTTTATACTTATTTCTCTTTCTTCTCGCTCCCTTCTTGGTTCCAGGTCTAGTCTAGATGATTACTGTCCTTCAGAGCAAGTTGACGCCATTCAGGAGAAGGTCCTCAGCGTGCTTCGTGCCCTGTATGGCACCCTGGACGTTCACCTGGCATACTCAGCAGATGCTTCTCCCGCAGGAAACAAAACATAGCAAATCACAGAGCACTAACCTGATTCTCATTAAAGTCGTTGTAAATGAGTCTTCCAGGAAACACCATGTCTTGTGTTCGCTTTCAGATAGAATATTTCAGGTACTGACAAGTGTCACCTGTTGAATGGTAGCAACTTTTTTGGCATCAAGTCTACCGTCACTTGTAGGAGCTATTGCTTCTCATTCTTCCTAAATATTATTGCCTGCATTTTTGTGAGCATTTTTTCTCTTCCCATCCCCTCCTAGTTTGGTTGGAGTGTATGAAATTCATTCATTCAATCACCTAACTGATACTTATTGAGCACTCACCGTGTGCCAGGCATTAGGAAGTGTACTTATGAATAGAACAGGCAAGGCCTCTGCCCTCATGGGGAAGACAAAGAGAACATGCGCACTGTGAGAAGTGTTAGGAAGGAAAGGACTCAGCTTAGTAGGGAACCCTGGCCTGATAGGAAAACAAGTAAGCACACAAACTTGCCCGTCCCTGAAAAAGCTGCAGTAAGTCTACCTTCTGAGGCTCTTGGCCATTATGACTGTAGCCCCTTTGGTGTTACTGTTGTTAAGTGCCCTTGAGTGGGTTGCAACTCATAGCGACCATCCTGGTGTGGCGCTGTGGGTTAATGCACTGGACTGCAAGGTCGGTTTGAACCACAAGGTTGGCGGTTCAAACTCACCAACTGCTCTTCAGGGTCACTATGAGTCAAAACGGACTCGAAGACACGTAAGAACAACAACAACATAGGTTCTCCAAGGCTTTAAATCTTTGTCGGAGCAGAAAGTCTCATCTTTCTCCCAAGGAGTGGCTGATGGGCTCGAACTGCCAACCTTAGGGCTCACAATCTAGTGCTTATCCTACAGAGCCACTGCACTCCCTTGTAGTCCTTAAGTGCGATTTCACTGGCAGGCTGCATTGATGTTGATGTGTTCGATTCTCCCCGCCCCTTTTCCTCCAACTAAAAGAGCTTTCAATGTAGATAGGAGAAGAGGTTAAAGCTTTCATCCTAGCTTGCCCAAGTAAGTACCCAGGGACGTAACTCTTGCACCAGTGTCTCCATGGTAAGAGACCCTCCTGGATTAAACCATCATGGAACTCTGTTTCGCCAGTTTGCCAAAGTCTTCCCGGATGTCTCTTCCTTTAAAGGTTGGATGACATTTTAAAAGAACAAACAGCCCTACATTCCTTCAGTGTCTACACAGTAGTTTTACTGTGTTTTGTGTTCTGGGGCTTTTTTTGCATATACTTTTCATGCCTTGCCCACATGTCTTCATGTATGTTGTTAGGTGCTGTCAAGCCGGTTCCAGCCGGTTCCAACTCCTATCAACCCTGTATAGGGTTTCCGAGGAACAGCTGGTGGGTTGGAACAGCCAACCCTGTGGTTCGCAGGCCAGTGCTGATCCTACAGCGCTACACTGGGAGTCCATGGTTCCTTGTAACTAAAATCAGCTTTATGGCTGATACCCAAGGAGACATTATTGTTGGCATTCAGTAGATGGCACCAGATCCCTTTTTTCCAATCATTTGATTTTCCTGTCCGTAAGGTGAATTTTCAAGGCTGATTGCATAGAGGATTGTTTCTGTTGTGAAAAACAACCCAAAATGTATTAGCCTTAATAGCACATGATGTGCCAATAAGGTTGATTTTCACCAGAAAACCCAGAATTGCAAAGTAAATATTATTTAAGTTTTGAAAATGGTCTGTTGGAGTTCTGTAAATAGAAGTTACATGTATAAGTTAATTATTCTGTGTGCCGAAGGAAATAAAAACGCATGTTTCGAAGTTTTAAACACTAGCCCTAATTAGTGGTGTGTGTTCTGGTGTTGATGGCGCTGGTTGATGAGTCTGGTTGAGTGGTCATTTACCATGGTTCCCAGGAACCCCAATGTGCATTATCATTGGTTTAGCGCAGCTAAAAGGTAGAGGCAGAAGTTGCCTTCAGGGGAACTCTCAGATTGCACCTTTTTCATCTTCTGCAGTCATCTCTTGGAAGCATACAGTTCACTCCCTACTTGTTGAAGAGAACCAGCATAGTAAATTATGTCATTAAGTGGTTCAGATATTTCGTCTTCAAGATATCCTTCATTTGTGGTTTATGTATCAATAAGGCCATACCACAGTACACAATACAACTTTATCTCTTCTTTATTTGTCATGATGTTATTCATTGGTCCAGTTGTGAGGACTGTGTTTTGTTTACAGTGAGGTGTAACCTTACACTGCAAGTCTTTGATCTTCATCAGTAAGTGACTCAAACCCTCTTCACGTCTAAAGAGCAGAATTGTGCCGTGTGTGTGGCAGGTGTCTAGTAGTCTTCGTCGAGTCCCAATGCTGTATCCTGATTATTGGCTCAGCATACACATTGAGTAAGTACAGTGAGAGACTACAATCCTGACACACCTTTTTTGGCTTTAAACTATACAGTATCTTGTTCTCTTACGATGACTGTCTCCCAGTCTATGTACAGGGTCCACATAAGCACAGTTAATGTCTGCTACCCCCATTGTTGGGACTCCTAGTGTGGCACTATAGGATCAGCACTGGACTGTAAACCACAAGGTCCATGGTTCAAATCCACAAGCTGCTCCTCAGAAACCCTGTACAGGGTCCCTATGAGTTGGAATTGACACAACGGCACTTACCATCAGCAACAATTCCCATTCTTCCCATTGCTATGTATAATTTGTTATAATTCACAGTCAAATGCCTCTGCACAGTTAATGAAATACAGGTAAACATCTAAGGACTGTTTTAAGTACCATCCAGTCAGTTCCAACTCACATAACGACCCAGTATAGGGTTTCCTTGTGAGTTTCAACTGCCAGACATGCGTTCAAACTGACCCTGTGACCCTGTGCTTATCCTACAGCACCACACCAGAACTGGGTAGGTTAAAATGCCTAAGAGCTAAACGGTAACACTTTAAAGATTGTGTCCAGAGAGTGATTGTTATAAACCAATAAAAAACGTTGTATCAGTTTCCCAGCTATTTTGAGACCTGTTCTATGGATAAGGCCTGATAGGAGCTATGTTCCACAATGTTTGGATCAGCATTAGAATTTAAAATTCACATCGACTTTGATTTTCTGCCCAAAAATCAAAACTTAATATTTGATACTATGGAAAGATCCCATTATCTTTTTTTTTTTTTTTTAGGCGTTTGTGCTCAGTCTTGGCAGCCTCTTTGCCTCTTTCCTCATTGCTGAGCCCCTCTCACTTCCTCTTGACAATGCTGTGTGTCCCCATCCTTTTCTTGATGAACTTGAGCGCCCGCTTGTCCTTGGAGACCTGGAACAGCTCTACGTCCCGGCGCTCATAAGACGCAAAGCTCCCTGATCATGTCCCGCGTGATCTTGGTGTGCTTAGGCGCCCACAGCGACGGCTGTGTCTCGGCTTGCTCACGTTCTTGGTTATTTGTGGCTCTGGTTGAGGCCAGAGGCCATAGGGTAGCACACAGCCAGGGCTGCTTTTCTTCATTGGCTGCTGCGGCGGAAGGCCCATTACCTTATAATTACATTTTCTCACAAACCTTTTGAAGGCCCCTCATCCTGTGTAACTGTCCACCAGCTAACATCTAACATTTTGCATTTATGGTAATAGTATGAACCACCTATCCAACTATTTTACACATTAACAATATACAGCGATGTAACATATTTGTCTCTGGAGTTTGGCAATAACAAACACCCAGGTGCAAAGTGAGAGTAACGCTGGCTGTGGTGATTACAGTTATGTGTCAATTTGACTGGACTTGATTCTACAGTCCACTGTGGTTGGCAGTTATGTAACGATGTGATCATCCTCCATTTTCACATTAACAACCTGGGCTTTGGAATTTAGCAACATCCGTAAGTGAGGAGTGAGTGTGTAAACTTTAATGTGCTGGACTACAAGGTTGGTTTGAACCACAAGGTCAGCAGTTCAAACTCACCAGCTGCTCCTCGGTAACCCTGTTCAGGGTCGCTATGAGTCAGAACCCACTTGATGGCACTTAACAACAACAACAACAACAACAACTCTATCAGACAGAAGAGAATGGATTTATTGGGTTTATAAGGCTGCAATATTTATGGGAGCAGACTGCCTTATCATTCTCCCTCAGAGTTGCTGGTAGATTTGAACCACCAACCTCTCTCAGCAGCTAAATGCTTAACGCACTGCATCACCAGTGTTCCCTATATTAGCAACAAACAGCTATAAATATAAGAAAATATCTTCTGAAAAAAGATTATGAATAAAAAATGATTGCAACAAATACAAAGAAAACTTTACAATGTTACTGAGGAATAGAAATATAAACATGAATATGGGAAGATATTATGTGCTTACATGAAAAGATTCAATATGATAATTATATCCATTTCCTATATAAAACTATACATGTAATGCAATTTCAGCAAACATACCAAAGAAATTTTATTTCAATTATTAGGGTGAGTTCTAAAGTTCATATTGGGGAGGAAATGAACACAAAGACAGCCAGAGAACAAAATTTAAAATAAAAGTTAATGAAGGAAATCAATAATATCTGTTGTTGTTGTTAGGTGCCATCGAGTCGGTTCTGACCCATAGCAGCCCTGGATATGGTTTCCGAGGAGTGGCTGGTGAGCTTGAATCACCAACCTTACAGTTCAAACGGCTTTGCAGTCTGACGCATTAACCCACAGCGCCACACCAGAGTGTCTAATATCCAAATTATACATAAGACTGTAACTTAACAAAATGACAATCCAATCAACAAATGGGAAAGGACTTACACAGAAATTTCACCAAAAAGGATATTCAAGTAGACAAGTACGAGGATGAAAAGATGCTCAATGTCATCGGCCATTGTAATTTGCAGTCAAATCAGTCTGACTCATGGCACCCCAGCCTTCCCTCCACTCCCACAACTCCCATGGATAGAGTAGCACTGCATTTCACATGGTTTTCAAGGCTGACAGATTTTGGGAGCAGTTTGCCAGACCACTATGGAAAATAGTGTGGAGTTTATCAAAAAGCTGA